AAAAGTCTGAAATTTGCATTAATTAAATCTTATATAGTCTATCTCATATCTAAAGATACATTTAAGATATCTTGAACTGGAGTCTCCATGCAACTTAATGATAAATCTAATGTTATTTCAGAATATAATTAGAGATATCTTATCTTTTGCCTTGTCAAAATATATTAAGAGATGTCTATTTATTTGTTTGTTTCATTCATTCATGAGAACAAAACAATATGTACAGCATAAAAAAATACTAAGTAAACGCTACCCTGAATTAAAAGGATGCCGAGTGAAGGAAGAAACTCTTATGTGTCCCTTATTTTCAAAAATCAACTTCAACAAACAAACAAGCTCAAGCTGGAAAGTTCTCCAAATTAAAAAAATAAGTAAGTAAAACAAAATTAAATAAAACAAAACATTTTATTATTTTATCTTCAATAACTAATCTGTCTAATTTAGTCATAAAACAATTTCAGATTACTGGAACGTAAGAGTGGTGAAGCCAAATAAATGCTATATCGGCCTGCCATAAAGTGAGCTTCTGCCCGCTGCTGCTTCTGCGCTCAAAGCAGAGACCGACCGTAACAAGATGGATTTATGACTGATCAAACATCCCCATCTTTTTATCATCTCTGTGGGTAACAATTCATAAAAATGCAAGTTTTTTCTCTGGCAACTTGGGCGTGAAAAGCTCTGCGCGACTTGCAGTGGGAGGAAGGAGGAAATGATCCGGCGACATAACGTAACTTTTCTACAGGGGAGGGGGACATTTGAGGATTTATTCTCTCTGTGTTTTAAAAAGCTATATTTCTTCATTTTGTTATCAGAATATTTCGAATAAATGGCCCCATAAAAAMCTAAAGAAATGGTTTACCTGCCCGAATATGGGTTTTGCCCCGGGCAGTCGGGCAATAGGATTTGTCGAACCCTGCTCGCAGGAACCTGGGGGTCTGTGTCGGTGATTCTTGCTGTAATCTATAAAAGTAATTATTGATAAGGTAACCATGCTGTGGCTTCACCTGTCACATTTTCTTTTAAAGAAAGAAAAAGTAGCTTGCAAAGCTGTCGCATCGGTGCTACGGGATTAAAAAAAGAGTTTTCATCGCGCGTCTAATCACACACACACACGCACGTGTCTTTCTATCTTCGTGAGAACCACACACAGCACTCAGCCTCGCTCTGCACTGCCATTTCCCCCCCAAGTTTGGTGAGAGATGGATATGGAAGGACACAAAAAAATGGCTCTCGACTTGATTTGGCCTTATTTAAATAAAAATGACTACAAAATTTCTTAGAGGGGCGGCCCATCTCGTTGCC